GATAGAAAAAAAAGACAAAAAGGAGCGTAAGTGTTTTCTCATGTACTCTTACTACATATATGATATTGATGCGGATACTTTTAGTGGTTATCATTGTCGATGTTCACGCTTGTGTATATTTTTTTCCTTATCTGCTGCTATTTTGCTTGGTGCAGCTATTGCTGCAGCTCTTATTTCATTTCTAAGCACACCGAAAACGGCAACAAGTAAGATGTATAATCTTTAATTCGAGAAGAGTTAGTTGTTCTTAAACTTTTCATCATGTGTCAACTGATATTGACAGTTACTTTTGAACATAGATCTACCACCTTAATGATCGAACACAGAAGAGCACATCTTGTTTTGTTTCAATTTCATGATTTCAGAAAAATTTCATCGAAACTATGTTCAATTGCATGAGAGATGTACACTTTTAAGAAAGATTGTATATCAAACGTTATGAGACTCCATTAGTTTTATGAACTCATTTTGATACTAATCTGTGAAATTGAAAAAAACTTCTCCAGTTACTGTTGACCGCGGCCACGCCGTCTGTCGAAAAGACTCTAGAGCGGTGACCCCTACCATGCTGTCGTCCTCTGCACTGCCCTTGTCTCATATTTCGGCGCGGTGTACGTCTCTGAAGTGCATTTTATTACAAGAACAGGCAATATGGATCGAATCTCTAACACGAGCCGATTGAAATATTTGGCTTTCGAAATCTTTTCATTTTTGTCAATCTGAAATGTGTAAAGCAACTATTTGTTTAACGAGGCGCTTATTGAATGCATTCATATTTTGAGATCCCTTTCTCAGATCATGAAATATTACTCATAATAGTTGTCTGCCTATAAAATGCGTTTCTCTCTGGGAGAGATATGTTCTTATAAGTAGAACTTTTTAAGTATTGACATCGATGACGACGATGGATACGACAGGCAATATGACAAATCAGACCACAATAAATAATTCAACAATTCAGGCAACAACAGAGACAACCACCGTCAGCAGTACGACAACTCAGACAACAACGGTTACAACCGCTGCTAGCAGTACGACAACTCAGACAACAACAGATACAACCACCGCCAGCAGTACGACAACTCAGACAATAACAGTCACAGTCACTACCAGCAGTACGACAACTCAGACAACAACAGTTACAACTACTGCAAGCACGACGTCTAGTACTATCTCTACCACCACCGACACAACGGCCACAACAATGATCACTTGTAAAGTTTTCTTCCTTATTTCTTGATAAGATCATGGCTTATTTTACTTATCTTTAGATGTTCCAACTGGTATTTATGCACTGCAAATTCCATCATGTGCTACATGGAACAAAACTGGAATAACGGTGGCTGGTAATGCAAACACAACAGCTGGCAGTGATGCAGCATCTCTCAATTCTCCTGTGGGGATTTTTCTCGATAACAATTACACTCTGTACATTGCCGACCGAGACAACCATCGAATTGTTAAATATGCTGTTAATGCAACGACCGGTGTTGTTGTGGCTGGTAATGGAACTCCCGGAAATAGTCCCAGTCAACTGAGATCGCCGAAAGGCGTTGCCGTTGATCAGATGGGTGCCATTATCGTTGCTGACGGAGGAAATTTTCGAATACAACGTTTTCCTTTTGGTTCCACAGTAGCAACGACAATAGCTCTCAATAGTTCAGCAAATTTACTTGGTGATATGCGAGATTTACATATAGATGTTAATAATAATATCTATGTAACAGATTCAGATTACAGTCGAGTTGTTAAATTTTATCCAAATAATGGAATTGGTGTTATTCTAGCGGGCAACAGTGGAGCAGGTTCTGCAGCTGATCAGCTTCAGGGCTCATATGGAAATTTTATTGATGGCAATGACACGTTATATGTAGCAGACTCTGGAAATCATCGTGTTCAGATGTGGCCAGCCGGAGCAACAAATGGAACCACTATAGCCGGTATCACAAATACACCTGGTTCAGGTTTATTGAGATTGAAGAGCCCCATGCAGGTTATTGTCGATAATAATGGGTATGTAATTGAGAAGTCGAAATTAAATTAGGATAAAATAACTAATACATAAAAATTTGCCTATTAGACAGTTACTCGCGGTATTTTCATTTGTTGTCATTGTAAGGAATGAAAATAAGGACGCGTCGAAAGAGAATGAGGGTTGAATCTTGACGATAAGAATATAAAAGTGAAATGACGTTTGTTCGGGAACAGATATGATGAACTATCGAGTATTACGTACTCTCATTCTAACTTTGTATATGCATCAGATGGATGTAACACTATTGTTTGCAAATTGATATCTTAAATTCAGTATAAACTAATTAAATTATCCGTTTTAATTTTGATGATTTCTTTATATTTCATAGATACTACTTTATAGCCGATTCCGGAAATAACCGAATTGTTAAATGGATTAGTAACTATGCAGCAGGTGGTACGTGTATTGTTGGTTGTACTGGTTCAGTAGGAAATGCATCAAACCAATTAAATACTCCACGAGATTTAAAATTTGATGCAAGTGGCAACTTGTATGTGAGTGATCGAGATAATAACAGAGTTCAAAAGTTTATGCTTGAAATATCAGCAAATTGTTCTATTAGTAAGTAGAATCTTTAGAAACATTTTTGAAGTTTTTCAGAGAAATGTATATTTTGGTTCGATTTAGGTGGTTAATCACAATGACAATAATGACTTGAAATATTGAACAAAAGTGTCTTTTATTTACTAACTATCGATATCGAACTATATGATGTATTTGAATTTTTTTTCTTACTTATTTAGTGTTTTTAAAAATATATTTGAAAGAAGTCTCTTAAAGTGCTGAAGAATGTGTACAAGTAGTCATTTATCCAATTATACTCTTCCGAATAATGAAGAAGTTCATGCAAACATACGCAATTCAGATGGTATTAATGTTTTTTTCTGTTGTCATCGATTCGATCAATATTTGAGTGATAATTAGAGCAATGTAGCATATGTGGATCTTAAAATGTCTTATTATAGTTGTATGAGGCATGCAGATATATGGTCAAAATCAGACAAAACGGGACATACCCCCAATCATTTGACTTTAATTTTTTACAAGGCTGTTTTTTCTGAATAAGTTCTTTTAGCCTAAACATATGTAAAAATGTTGGCGCTTTTAGTTGACTATTAATTAAAATGGATTAGTTAATTAATTAATTAATTAATTAAGAAGTAATTAGTGAATATCTCGCTAACTATAAGAGAAAAATACTCAAAAATTTCAGGATAGACTGTACAGCACGAGTTACATTTATGGTAAAATTTTCAGCAAGATCGGGTTCGAAAAATTTCCCCCATAAAAACTGGTTCTTTAGGGATCCTATCAAATCCCAGAACGAAAATTTTTGTCCTGTGACAATGTGAAGGCTCTGAAGAATAATTTATACCATTTGGCATTGGTTTTGAACTTTTTATTCAGTTATAAGAGCATTTCTTCCTCTGCATATTCATACTCCATCACGTCGCTAACGAAAGTGGCAAGTCCCTAACGAAAAGTAAATCAAATTTTTTGAAAAATCTAGGCATGCTCACCAAAAAACTTTGTATAGAGACTTTGTAGCTTCAATAGTTGTCTACAGAATGTACTATTTAGTTTTCAAAAATGTTGTATTAATTAAAAGTTTTTTTTAACTAAAATGCATGAAGTGAAAGTTGATGTACTTTTTTGTGTCACGTCGCTAACATTAGTTTTTTTAGTGATAACTCCTCTGAACGAAGATCTGAAAGGCTGATTTCTTTTAGGGTACCCAAAGTAACTTAACATACATATAAAATATAAAAATTAGCTCTTGGAAAGTTGATCATCCCACGATGTACGTGTTGCAATTTTGCGAAGTCACTTCTTCAACAAATGTTTTTGCTGATATATCCTCGCAGATGAGAGTGTTAGTAGTTTATTCTTTCCGACATGTGAATGCGTACATGTCAGTCGGAGGAGTCTGCCATACCTTATATTTATTTCTCATTACTCATCCTATTTCAAAAATGAACCAAGCATCCGATATGGCAGCTTTATAAACGGAATGAATTCTAAAAAACGGTGTCTATTTATTTACAGAAGACATACAAGTGCACAAGTTCAATAGATTATCAAGTCATTTTCTCAAAATACGCCAGTCTTTCTCTCTGTCTTATCGTTCAATAAGTCAATGTGCGTGTCTTCTCCGAAGCTAAGACACTCAGCTTTGCAGGTAGGAAAAGAAAGACACAATTATCGTAAAAACTGAGCCGAGAGAACATAATCCTGCGCCTTAATTACCAGGGCCGTCATAACACTGCCTAAGATATTACAATACATGTAGATGATGATATCTTTTATTTGAAAGAAAGATAATTTCAAACATACTGACAATGAGATGATTTGACACCTAGGAAAACGTCTTTTATTGTCTGAACTATTCAATTAGAAACTGAGAATAATCTGTTTCATCATAATCATCTTCTATTACAATGTATTTTTGATGGTCTCTCTCCCTATTTAATACTAAAGTTGATAAAGGGTAATTTTGTGATTCATTCGTATGCAAACCTGACTTCGCTTGACAATAAGATTGAGCGTTACTTTGGATTAGCTATATAAGAAAGTAAATTTTAACAAGTAAATTCGATTTCCTGTCTCTTGTACGATGAAATCAAATTGAGAAAATTGTACTTTCAAGATTGTCCTGTTCTTCTTCTCCTAACGTGTTCCTCATTCTTTTATTTCTGACCATTAACGTAGACTTCACTAGCAGATCAAGCATGCTATCAAAACCAAAGCACAGAAAATTTTTGATCTATACCTCTTGTTACACATTCTGAATCTACATTAAAAACTGGGATTATGAAATATTTAAGCAAATCGACAGCATCAAAAAATTTTCAGCATAAACAAAATTATCAGAATATAGTTTAGCATAATGAATAACATCAAGCCCACCTATTGAAAGACCTTGGTTTTTAGCTACTGTTTGCAAATTAAAATCAATTCAAAGTACTCATTGTTCCATATGATATGTACGCCAACGTTGTAGAATAGTATTGCCAGGAATAATCCAATTCGTATAGAATCGAAATGGATCACCATCAAGCATAACTGTAATCAAAGATTCATTATCCCAAATATTTTGGGCTGCACCAGCTGTTGTCTAATCTGTAGCACCGCCATATGCATCATGCAATAAGTAAAGAATGGAATAACGATGACTATTACCACTAGTTGCATAATTAGGTAGAACAAGTACCCGAATTGTTTGATTACCACGCACTTCATCTGATTATACAACTACTTCATACAGTGGATTAGTGAGTTAAGCAGAAGAACGCACTGCAAGACCAAAGCCGTAAACGAGATCAAGTGCATCACCAATGGTGTAATCAACCAAATTACATAGAACGAGCTAGTTTGACGAGAAAGAAGCTATATTTCATGATTATATTCCTATTTGGCAAGCTAATTTAATATATACACTCTATAGCAGATGGCATCGTTCTCACAGATTCTCAAATACTATTCGAATCTCTCATCGACAGTCAGTAATCATAAGCTACTATAATTAATGTGCTATTTTGAGAACATGTTCATGTTGAATCAAAATAATCGATTCATCATCACAAATATCGGTTTAAGATTGATTTGCAATATTATATTTATTTAAAATAATAAAACAAACACACTCGAGGCCTTTTTAGTAATAAAAAGAGAAAAATAAAAGTGTTTTTTCAATTGATAAATGGTTCATATTTAGCTATATATTTGAAAAGAAATATTTAACAAAAATATTCTCCTTCTCATCCATAATGATATAACAATCTCATGCCACTACCATTTCATAAATTAATTATTCTATTAAAATATGTATACAATTTAAAACACAACAATAAACTATTGCATACATACAAAAGATGTAACCCGTGTATCTTGTGGTTGAACAAATTGTCGTCGTCTGGGTTGTTTATGAGCATTAGATAATATTGCTTTAACATGTTGAGCTTCCATCTTGCTTGGCCGAGCGAAATTATAAGCCATCATACCAAATGAAACACGATTCTCGTGATCATTTAAGTTTCGATGAAGCTCTTAAAATTGTCGGTTATAATGAATGCTAAAAATCGTTTGTGTAAATTTTGATAAATTGCCAAATTTTTCTAGATAGTCCAGATATTCCTTAAGAATATCGATTAAACTAAGCATTGCTATTATCAACGCGGCAGTGAATCGCGTAATGTCAACAATATATAATAGGGTGTGGGTGTGAGTGTGGGCGTGGGTGTGGATGGCGAGTGTGGGTGTGGGTGTGGGTTTGTGGTGTGCGTGTGGGTGTGAGTGTGGGGTGTGAAGTGTGGGTGGGGGTGTGAGTGTGGATGCGGGTGGGGGTGTGTGGGTGTGCGTGTGTGCGTGCGTGTCTATCATCTCTTAAACGATGCTTGCACTCATACCCAAACCCACACCCACCCACACCCACACCCACACCCACATCGACACATCCAACCCACACCCATGCCCACACCCATACCCCACACCCACCCACACACCACACACCACACCCACACTCCAACCACACCCCATTCACACCCCCACACTTACACCCACATCATCGTTGATGATAATGATACACATATTGTTCATCTTTGATCACTTCTTTCACTAATAAACTCAGCAAAAATGCGTAGTTAGTCGTTGTAACTGGGCTGTTAGAAGAGCTACTACACATCGACGTTGATATTCCGCTAGTAGCCAATATCAATGACGTGCTCATAAAATAGTTATTTTCTATAAAAAAATGAAACTCACATTCGATTGAGCGTATAGGCTTGCTTGTTCTTTCGTCTAAACATCACCACATTTTTGAGTAGATTAGCTTAGAATCTGTCAAGTTTTTGCTCTCGGGAATGCTGCTACTTCTACTAGACAATCACTAAATATGAATATAGCCGATATATACACAGACACTTTATTACAAGAAATCAGGAACTTTATAAAGGTTTATGAACAATGTATTGGATATGACAATATCTGAGCATGTGAAAGGAAAGCAACTAAGAGAGAAAGAGAAAACTTATCGTTGACCAGAAAGGTAAGAAAGTGAAACAAAAAAACGTACATGATAATAGAACAGAATGAAAAGTACATATGGCACAATGGAAGGAAGTAATCTATAATATAAAAGAGAGTGCATAATAGTGACACATGGCAACAGCTGATTCTGACACTTTCTAACAAATCTTTCAACCTAATTTAGTTTCTTTTATGTTGTAATAAGGACAATTTATTTTCGATGGCTTTTATATTTGGATGATCTTGTGGACATGATTTATGAAAAATAGAAAGTGCTCTGTTATAATAATCATTTGCTTGTTGATAATTTTTCATACCATCAAATATGATTGCTACATTCTGATAGGTTATACCTAATTCAGGGTGATTTTTTGTGAGAAGATGTTTTTGAATGTTTAATGTCTTTTTTTGATATTTGTATGATAAATCAAACTGTTTTCTTTCTCGATAAATCATAGCTATAATATGGTAAATATAGACACATTCCTCATCATGATTGTCAAATAATAGAAGCACCAGTGCTTTAATTGAATATCCCAATGCTAGATCATAATAATTCTTGCAGAAATAAGTTTGTGCAATGATATAATACGTTTTAGCAACTGCTAGACTATTGTTTAACTTCTTCACAAACCATAGTTCCATCCGATGATAGAGCAATGCCGCATCGTAGTCTTTGAGTCCACGTTCAGTGCTACCAAGTCCACGAAAACAATTTACCAAATCATAGTTATTTAATGACAATGATTTATTGTGCAAAAGTTGTAGAAAAAAGATTTTAGCTTTGTCAAATTTACCTTGTCGATATAATAAAAATCCCACTGACGTTACACCAGCTTTTGTTTCCTTTTTTATTTGTTTAAGCAAATCTCTTAGCTCGAAGTCATCTTCTGAACACATTACTAAATGAGCAATCCACATTTGTTCTTTTTTATTATATATCACTGATTTAATTTTGAAGATACTTCCAAGCATAATTAATACTTCATTTTCATCATAAAAGTTACTTAAATGTCTAATACTAGCATATGCTTTTGTATTTTGTATACGTGTATCTATATCAATTTCAAACATAATACGTTGAATATTATCCGTAATCGGTATATCTGCATACATCTTGGCAACTCTTATATCTATTGTCGTAGAGAGAAAATTATTAACTAAAATATATTCATCGATATTTTGACAAATTAGAATTAGTTCATTAATGTTTATTACTTGTCCATGGTAAACATGTAACAGATGATTGTCTACACAGTTACGAACAAATTTCTTATGCTCTTCTATTAATTGATCACACAAGTCACAAATATAGGATCGCATCGCAAAAATATCATCGAAATTATTATTTCTTAGACATTTGTTTAGAATCTGATAGACACCACAATTATATGTATACCACCAGATTGCTTTCTTAGGTTCATATTCATTTTCAAAATTCTTGATCATTATTAATTGTATATTATTGGTTGCATAATGTTTCTTCAAAACTTTAAAGAAATCTTTTCGAGAATTTTCTGTGTTATTCCATATTCTAGATAGTTCTAATAAATGATCAATTAATAGTATAAACCACATGAAATTTACATTATGTGTGTCTAAATTGTTGTTGACACTAATATTAGCTTTATCGTTATTGGAACGACAATAAATATTTATTCCAATTGAATTCATATCAATTCTTTCCTGATTTTGTTGAGTGCTCAAATCACTAGAAACATCTGTAACCTATATAAACAGACAACCAATGACAATACAAAATGTTTTGTATAATTAGTAGAAAGTTCCATAAATTTTATTTACCTTAACATAATCATCTGTTTGTTTGTGGTCAGTTGAGATTAAGGGACAAAATTGTGAAGTTTGACATATATGGTCATTTGTTTGTGATTCTTCTTTCTGATGAGGAAACCTTGGAAAGTGTGGTTGATGAAACGGATTCATTTGAGAATTGTCTCTGAATCTATTTATTTGTCATTGTTGCTATTGAAATCAAAGAGTGATTATAGTATCATTGAAATAAGGCATGATTGATTTTTCTTCTTGATACATTATTTTGATGTAATAAAGGATCTTAGTTTATTTGGAGAAGAATATACAAACAACATAGGGTGGATGTGTGGGTGTCGGTGTAGTTTATTTCATTACCTTAACCCACACCTACATCCTCATTCTGTCTTCTACTCACTACTTTCTCTCTTCTGACTTCTCTCTCCTGTCTCGTTCCCTTTATTGTGTATACTTACACATAGGCTTTTGAAATTTTAATCGATTGCAATCGATAAAATTTTTCATTGGATATCACCTAAAAATAAGGTCAAAACATCGACTCTATTTTATGTGTCTGAACAATTTCTTCATGAGACTTTTTTGGTGATACGACATTTGAGCCTCTGACATTTGAGCCTCTGACATTTGAGCCCTGACAGATGAGCCTCTTAAAATTCGAGCCCTTCACCTTTGAGCCTCACACCATTTGAGCCTTTTACTGTTTTAGCCTTGTACCATTTGAGCCTCTTACTAGTAAGCGTGTGCGTATGAGTGTAGGGCTTTATTCACTCTAGATCGTCCCACACTCACATCCTCAAGTATCGGAGCTCAAATGTAGGAGGCTCAAATGTCGATGTATCGACTTTTTTTTTTGCTTGAACTGAACTTTTTGAGAGATTTCTTCCAGAAGGAAAAGTATCAATGGATGAAGTTTATTTCATTGCTACACTCTTTGACTGATGCTCATACCGAAGAGCGAAAAGACTGCATTGAGCATATCAAGATACGAACAGTTTTTTCAGTATGCATATCTTATCGAAAAAATT